CACATGACCACAAAGAGAAGCATTGGAATTACAGATTGAACAGTCACATAGATAAAGAATAGGGACCAATCGAACATATGATACGCTAATGTCAGAAGAATGGTATAGAGGTTAGGAGAAAAGAGGATTATGACTACAAAGTTAGTTGAAACACATAAATAAGTTAGATAAAGCAATAAAAAGGCGTAATTTGTCTGAATCGTGTGCAACACATGTCGAACAATCTGATTACACACGGACTTGTCATAGGAATATATATGAAATTAATAAAGAGTTAAGAGGTGAGAAATAGAAATAGACTTAGATCAAGTTAGAAGGACATATTGAAGGTCAAAAAAATACAATGAAGATTGCTAAACCAAAGAAGCGAGATAATATTACATCTCTGTCCTGTCTGGTATCAAAACGAAGTTTACCAGGGAAGGTTCAGTTTGATGACGAATTATTGCTTTGAAGGCACGAAGGTGGTTTAAACTTTCTAATTGCCAGCTAAGGCTTTCACAAACTTCAGGATACGCCCCACCTCAATTTTAAATCGAATGAATTAAGTTCAGAATAGCATATCACTTACATCTGTAGAAGAGGACGATAATTGTTTATCTTTCCTAGACATATTGCTTAGTCGACGGCTTGATGGGTCAATAAAAAGATCTATTTATAGAAAACCTACCTGGACAGGACAGTATCTTAATTACCACAGTTTTTGCCCTGTTCGGTACAAAAGAGCCTTAGTAAGGTACCTCTTCAGTAGAATCCAACGAATATGCACTGAAGACACACTTGATGAAGAAGAAAGAAAGTTGACACAAACTCTGGTTGATAACAATTATCCAGACAAGTTCATCAAGAGATATAAAGTAGTCAGAACACCAAGACCCACTCGCCCCTAAGAAAGACGTGTACATCAAGCTACCCTATATGGGTCATCATAGCGGCTTGATAACTAGACAAAGATTGAACGCTATTGTTGAAAAGACATTTTATGCAGCTAATATCATAATAATTGAGAATGTGAAGCCAATATATCCATCTAAGCCCTTTGAACATGCGAAAAATGATGTCACATCCCAATGTATTTACCAATTTGAATGTACGTGTGGACACACCTACATAGAGAGGACTCATCGATCTCTGCAAATAAGGGATTCATAGCATATTCCTAAATGGCTCCAGAAGCAAATGGAATCTTCAGAACTCATTGATGATGAGAATAGGGTACCTAGCTCCTCTATTGCGAAACATATTATGGAGACAGGACATAAAATTGACGTTAACACATCTTTCAAACCTATCTATAAAACGTGTTCGGGGCGTATCCTAAAGTTTGTGGAAGCCCTAACAATTAGAAAAGTTAAACCATCATCGAGCGTTCAAAGCAACAATTTGTCATCACACTAAACCTTCCTTGGTAAACTTTGTTTTGATACCAGAAAGGACAGAGATGTGATATTACCTCGCTTCTTTGGTTAAGTAATCTTCATTGTATTTTTTTGATCTTCAATATGTCCTTCTAACTTGACCTAAGTCTATTTCTCACCTCTTACCTCTTTATTAATTTCATATATATTCGTATGAAAAGTCCGTGTGTAGTCAGATTGTTCGACGCGTGTTGCACAAATACATTACACGATTCAAACAAATTACGCCTTCTTACTGCTATATCTTAATTTATAGGAGACATTTTCCAAACGATTATTCCATTACAGTTTAGATGCAGTCAGAAGAAACGTCAGCTTGTAATGTTACAATATTCATAGGGAAAATAGTTTCTGTTATAGATAGTGAATGTTAAGGTAAATGTTAATTCCTTTCCTATCTCTCCTATGCTATTCTTTCTTTCGTGACAAACGCATACTACTTTCCTGTAGTAAGTAGTATGAGATATTTATTCCTTCTTATCCATGGCTTTGTTCGGCAATGAAGTTTAACTCAATGTGAGCAGTTCAAGCTAAAGTCGCTGACAGAAAATCAGTTCAAAATACTAATCTTTATGTGTGGAGTACAGTCTCCAAAGTTTGCCAACAATGGAGTAGGTCTTTTAAATTAGCTAGAGCAACACAGAGAAATGACGTTGGAAGATACTGGAGAAGAATATCAGCGACTAATCAACATTTACACTGATACTACCTTGGTCCACTCTGGCGGTCAGAATACGGCAGAAGAACATGCGGTGTACGTAGTAGCATTGATTACAAACTCACACCATCATTTACAGCAGAAGTCGTTTTCACCATGCTGACACTGCAACGGTTGGCACTATGTCAAGTCATGCCGATTGTCAAGCCACAAATGATGGCGATTCTATACCACGCAACATACTGATAGGTACTGTAAATAGACTAATTAACAAAAGTCCAGAAGCCGGTCCCATCGATGCCCCAAGTACTACAGCTTCCTAACACATCAGTATTCTTGAAGCACGTAAACACACTGAAGTAACAGTCAACTCACAGCCAATAAGCCCTAAATGAACACGCGATAATATTGAAGAAGATATGAGAGAGGTTGGAACGTCATGCCATGGAAAAGACTAGTCAGATCACAGTCAATGTCTGTAAAGGAAATCCCCGTCCGAAGCCAGTCGTCTCCCTGAGACTCAGTTTATCAAAATATGGTAAGAAAATAATTCAAACCTAGATTCGTTGGGTTCGGACTGGAGTGAAGAATTACGGCACTCAGAAATCGCTTTAGAAAACATATGCAACAAAGTTGGAGTGACAAACTCCTAATCACTGCCTCAGGAATTCCAGGCACTGTTCTGGCCAGAATCGGGCACTGCGAAACCACGGAAATAGTTGCGCTTTTACAACCTTACGTGATATCAATTTTTTCCAGGGGAAGACCTGTTCACCTGTTTTCGTAACCATAACAGGATACAGTGTCAGAATATCCTAGGCGGTATAGTCCAGAGTAGACCTAAGGAAAAAGAGTTACTTAGTTTTTTGTAAGCGTTCTCATACCTTTAACATTGTAGATGTTATTGCTTCTAGTTTCGTCCATTCTCAAAACAACTATATTTTGAAGGTTAAAACAGACTTAAAACCGGTTTAAACCATTGGCTGGTGAAATAGAAGTTTCTGTCTAAGTTATTGAGTACCCTTACGACGACCAACCTCTTTGGTACTGTATATATTAATTTTTTTAATGTTCGTAGTGGTCTTCACCGACACAGACCAGTATTGTCTCCTGATTTTTCTGTGGGCTCAGAGCAGCACAAAGTATTCGAGGGAGAACAGTCGTGTAACGACAGAAGGCAAGAGTCAGGCAACAGATCATTTATTAAGGAAAACAACGCATATTTATATATTTGCATGTACATTACTATGGATATTTAAGCAAACAAACACAGTCTTCCGATTGGTTGTTTCTCACGTAAAGTTAATCTTTCATCTATTTGTGACTGTTTCTTGAATGTCAAATCCTCTATATGTTAACTGCATCCGCCTACGCAAAGTCTGCTGTGGTCGGTTTTGAATCAATCTTTGTTCACATTTTCTCACGACAAATCTTGGGAACGTAAATATTGACGTAAATTACTGTCTACCGATTTGGCTAGTAGACAGCTCTCACCACAGTCGTATTTTATCATCGAGTTACCTATATGATATCAGTATCGAACCCAGATCCCAGCACTGTTATTATTATTATTATCGGTTACATCAAAATCTCATACACCAGAAAACATCAACTGAGATCAAGTATGTTCTAAGTATTTTCCAATTACTGTGACCTGCAAAGGTCAAATTAACATCAAATTTGACAGCAATTACTGACATATTTTTTGTATACCTCAAACTAATAACACCCACATTCCTTTACATCTGAAAGATATTACGTAACTGCTTACGATATTAAATCAATAATATTTTGAGATTTAAAAGTAAACTAAGTCAGCATTTCCATTGTAGAGAACATAAAGATTAATTGATATCCTCGATCTAAGAAGATTGGACCGTCAACCGTTTCGTAAAAGTAACTGACCAAGTTATAGTGACAAGTTTTACGAAATTAAATCAGCTTACCTAAAAGCCCTTTCAAAATCTAGTTAAAAAGACCAACTGACATGAAAGGAGGTTAAAGGCAACTCATTTCCTCCGTACACAATATGATGGTATACTTTGACAGATTTTATAGTGAAACCTCACTCTCACATAATAACAAATTTCTAAATATTAATCCGTTTGCTTTCCCAGTGTTCTACATTGGCCTTCAAGTTTGAACTCTGAAGTTCCTAAAGCATTTTATGTTATTTTTTTACAAGGATGGGGTTGCTAACCACACACACAGCCTTCTCTCTTTACCGTGGATACTTCCGGTTAATAGAGGTTCAGGAGTGTGTCACTTAGGGAGTATTTTACCGCTGCACTAACGACACACAAAATCACTTCCACACTGGGTTTCGAACCCAAGCTTCCTGGGCGAAAGGCAAGAATTCTAAACGCTAGACTATAATGCCGCTTAGATTTTATACATCCGCACTAATCGTTTCACCTAAATTTCAAACTATTCTTGTATTGCTGAGAATATCGTCTTGTCTTTACAGCCTACTGATAAAAGACTAAAGTTCATTAGCTTTATTCATCTGATTAGGGAAAATCAAAGTGATATGCGTGAATTTCTGAAATTTCCAATTAGTATTCCTGTTGAACTAAATACCACTATTGTAAGTGAACGTGAACATTGAACGTTTGTTTATTGCAACTGGTAGCCATTGGCGGGTAACTCGAAGACGCGAATGATTCAGTCGTGTACAAGTTGGAAGAAGACGAAAGAATACGAATAAAAGTACAGTACATTCCTTGTAAAACATTTGTTTGTAGACTTTTGCAATGATATCGAATTTAACTGCCGAAGAATATAATTTCTTATTAGTCCTTGTGTTTTTGGAGTTAAAGTCGATAATCGTTCCGAGTAATTATCGATTCGTATAATAATAGGAACTTAGGGTTAAGTTGCTTGACAACTATCATATTTTAGAAAATTTATTACACCATGAAAAAGTATTTACACTGACAAAGTCTCTCATTATTTCCCCACATTTATTACAAAATAACTAATTATTTGTACATACATAATTTGTAAATTGTCTAACTTTCAAAAGCCTTATTGTTATTATTACTGTATCATCTTTTGACGTGAAAGTTGTATTTCAGAACAGTGCAGTAATTGCTTATCCACGTAATTATATCTTGATGATAAGAATATAAAACTGTATACCAAACAAACACCTTGATCTCCTGTATTTGGCTTGTGTTGAACGCCACACAACCACTACTACTGTACCACTACAATTACAAAATGCCCGTGTGTTTATACTACAGGATCAATATTTGCTTTATGCGTTTGTAATCGTTTCTGGTGAGTTTGTACACCTTTATCTAATCCATTACATTCAATAATATCCTCTAGGATGATAACATTCACCAGTTGAGATGATTTATTCTCATTTTTTGATTTATATTTACTTTTAGTCATTCCACGGGTCAAATGTTTTCTAACTGATGTCTCTGTCAGTGATGGAATATATGCAACTTTTGTCCATGGAATCCATGGTGTAGCCGTAGTACTAGTGGTAGTCGTGGTCGTTGTATTCATTTGATGTTGATGTTGTGTACTTTTTCCGTCTTCTGATTGTGAAGTTGTGTTAGTCGACTGCAGTGGATGAGTTTGTTTTTGTGATGTGTAATTCTTTGAGGTATTAGAAAATTTATTCAATTTCCATTTGAAACGAGGATTAACTGCTAATCTTGCTGTTGTAAAGAAAAATAAATAATAATAATAATAATTAAACTGATTAAATTTAGGAGACAAAACAGACTACAATGATGTGTTAATTAGCGTTAAAATCTGGTATGGGTATTAAGTCCTGCCTGGGGACTCGTCATCTGGATATGTACGCATTCCCCAGTGGGTGATAGTCTTCCCGCTGAGGACGGAACCCAATAGTACTCATCGTTTCAGACGCCAAGGCGTTATCCACTAGATGACTTGGGCTATAAGAGTTTAAAAATAATAACTTGATGCCTGCTGCACAGAGTTGCCCTTCGTGATGCAAGTGGTCTGGTGAATAATGCTTTGGCGTTTGAAATTATGGGTTCCAGCCTCACTGGGTGGACTGCCACTCACTGGGGACTGCAGGTGCATCCAGACGACGATTCTCGAGTAGGACGAAATGCATATCCTGGATTCCCCTGCTTAAAACTTGGGCTACCAGAAATTTCTATCTCTCCATTCCATATATTTTCTCTCGTTTGGTTTGTTTTAATCGATTAAGATATGACCTCTAATGGTATTATCTACTCTTGTGTGTATTTAAAATGTTTACAAGCTTCTGATTCTCAAGTTCCTACTAAACTTGAGGAATGGCCTGATTTTGGGTGGCAGCGTATCTCAAAACATGAGATAACTGTTCTTCAGTTATGTTCTCAGGTCTCAAAGTGTAGTTCTGAACATCTTACAATTGGAACAAGACATATAAGCGAACAATATTGTTTTCAATTAGATCTTCTTCAGGCTTTACTCTAATTTACATAGATTTATATATAAAATTTTAACCAATGACGGTGATTTTGGGAATCAAATAAATGGGAATATTTAAAGATCTTAAAATTGGCTTTCAACTAGATATCGTGGATTTCTCGAGGGAGGCAAAGCAGATATATCTTAATGGAATGGTTTGTGTTTCAGATGAGAGAGTAATGTGTCACAGGATATACTGTCAATGAATTAATATTTTACTTGAAGATATTGTACGAAGGGAAAATATCATGCAATAGACTGCTCTGAAAATTCCGTAAATTTTATGAATACTGTCCAGACTAAAGACGTTATTGTTAGTTACCATCCACCAAATTAATTGAAGTTAATCCTTAGTCACTGGGGATGTATCCGCACGAGGAGCCGAAATTTTAATAGAGGTCGAACAATCAAATAGCGGCAAAATCAGAATTGAACTGAAAAGATACCCGTTGCTTGATTGTCAGCATTAGCCTAATCTATCACAGAACACTGGAATATTATTGACAGTGGTCTGTAGGAACAGTATACATTTCTGAAATTAATAAGGTTTAAAATTGAACTGACATTTGTTGTAGAACATTTTGTTACTTCTGAGTAGGGGAAATATTTTCAGGTAACTGACTGTCTGAGCTCTTCACTTGTTTTCTAAAATGTTCACAGTAATACTTATGAAACCATGGGGAGGGGAATTTCTGGTCCCCACATTCAACGATGCAGGTTATGTTTTAAAATAACGTGAATTTAAGGTATTCAGAATTGACACAATATCACTTTATCCTGAATAACCCTCCTCACGTCGGTAGTTCAGAGATGGGATGCTCACCAGTCACTAATTTGGTCTGTGATCAATTCCCCACTGATACACTATTAAACCTTGGTAAGATTACCTGCCAACAGTAAGCCTGTAAAGGACGGGCTTGTAGCTAGCAACCTCATGCAGTACACACAACACCACTGTTAATAAAACTTCAAGTTTTGAAGTCTTTTTCTCTCATTACTGTAAATCGTGAGAGACTGTGTTAAATTAAGCCTGGGATTCTCACTTATCATTGTTAGAATCATGTAAAATACTAAAATAGCACCATAAATTTTATCTCTACTAACTGTCTTTTTGTTGTGGCTGGAGCCCTTTAGGACTTTAATCAATTCAAGGAAGTTTTGATCAGTTATACAGTATAACGCAGCGATTGAATTCCTGAGTTCAGATCACAACAATAGCTGAGTACATCGGCCGTACCATGCACCAACTTGAAAAACGCGCTCGTGAACACTATCCAGCAAAAGGAGAACGAAAACGGGTATATAGTTCAGTGACAGAACATCTGGTCAATTCAGGACATTCACTGCCATTCGAAAAATCCTTCAAAATAATATTCAAGATTAGATGAAACTTATCAAATTAAGACATCTTGTCATAGCCGAGGCACTAGCCATCCAAAAGTTCAAACCCACGCTATGTATCCAAAAGAAATACGTCCAATCCTTGTCCCTGCCCTGGCCATCATAAACAGGCAATTCTTCTAATAGTGAATATCCCATTGACTTTCTTATACAAACTTCCTGTTTATTCATGTTATTTCTACGTTTTTCTTAATCCCTATTTACACTACCATATTTTCATATCCGAACTTCCTGTCTATTTTGTTATTTTATTATTTCTACATATTTAATCCCTGATTGCATGAACAATTATTCGTCACCTTAGTTATGACCCCACTAGATCTTTTTATCCAAACATTCTGTATATTTTTGTTATTTCTACATTTCTAACTCCTAATTGCACAATATGTCAATCTTCTCAGTAATTATGATGCTACTTTGTTTGAGTTTTATCCGTCCCCCTGTTCATTATGTCATTTTAATTCCTAATTGTAATTCTATTAATCTGACCATTGACCAGAAATTATTCTGGAACTTTCCTACCATTTGTTATAAATACACGAATGTACTGCCTAGTTGATGATTTCGTCGAAAAGAAAATTCCTTCGCTGCAACTGTCTTTTTATTCCCTATGATCAAATGCGGGAATATGTGTTTCCATATGACAGGTTCTCCTGAGACTTGCGAAAGTTGCACACTGTGTGACTATTCTAAGGGGACTTTTATGATGTTTTCTCACAGTTAGCAGAATTTCGGACTCACTAATACCTCAATAATTGTTTGCATACAATCATGACGACACATGATTACTTAATTATCAGCTAGGAGTATTGCAGTACAAGGACTGTCCACAAGGGAAACTATTAACTAGAGAAAGCTTTTAATCTGAAAACACTTTCAATGGAATGTTATTTGTAGAACACCCATGATAATGCTGCAGTGGTGTAAAGGTACAAACTGAAATAGACGGGTTTGTTATAAGACTGTCTGTTGAAATGCCTGCATTCTTAGTAATATATATGTGTATGACGTAACGTGGTTTGATTGGACAATAACTAGTAACTACTGATATGTATCTAGTCCTTTGTTTGATGCAAACTGAACCACGGTGCTCCATCACGGCGAGCCAGCTGCTATGGTGGCCACATTGCAAAATTGGCTGGTACAGTTTAGTCTGCACCAAAGATTGGAGTCGAATACAGGTTTAAATCTGAGAGGGGACATGAGTTCAATCAAGACTGCAGACAATCCTTGCTGTCGAGTACCGATTAGCATGAAACCTAGGTTGAAAGCTTCCCTCCTAAAGCGTCCAACCACCTAATGATGTAACAACTTGAGAACAAATATCATATTACATTTCATGATAGATAAACTTACCCTGAACAGTATGACAAATATTTTTAAAATCTGTTCGAATCCATTCTTCATCATTTTTAATAGGTCCTTGTGTGTAAAACCATGGTGTGAATAGATCATGAAAAAATATATTCAGTATTACAAAATTTTGTCCATCTCGTTGTATCTTCAGTATGTTTGCTGTATTCCATCGTCCATACTCCGCTTCTAAACATTTCATAAATTCATTAGCAAATAGTCGACTGTGAAATGTTACACCATATCGATTGCCTTCATGTGATACAGTATACCAGCCTAAGAAGAGAAAAATAGATGGAAGTGGTCAACCAAAGACAAACAAAAAATCTACAGTCCGATGAAGACAAGTAGGAGATTTTACCAACTCACCGAATTACAACCTCCCCCAGAATACTTATCTTCAATGCTCAAATCACTTCAAAAAGAGACTCAATGTGCTGTTAATGATTCATATAATTTCATATCCAAGATGGAACACCGGGAAATTGAGAAAGAAGATATTATGGTAAGCTATGCGATTAACTCATGATACACCAGCATTATTCCCATTACTGAAAGTCTTGGTATCATTTTCAGTTTACTAGAATCAGACACACCTTTATCAGAAAGGTGTTCACTAGACACCAGTGAGATAATTACAACTTTAAGAATCTGTCCGGGAACTAATTACTTTGCATTTAAAGGAAATTTATACCAACAGACAAATGGTGGAGTCATAGGTTCACCAGTTTCCCCAATAGTCACTGATCTTTTCGTGAATACATTTGAAGATAACATCTTCTCAAGCATACTCACACCTAAAGTATGACTAAGATTCGTCGATGGTAATCTCGTCGTACTAAAATGAGATTTGCACAGTTCATTCTTGGAGAGATTGAACAGTCTGACTCCCAGCACTCAGTTTCCTTCGGAAGCGGAGTCAGATTTCGGTGACCAGCATCTTCGAGACTGCATTGTTCAGAGGAAAGAAAATGAATATTTTGATAAATCTATATTCGGGAAGAAATCTCACTCCAACAAATATTTCAACTTTGGATAACCACACCCCATCAGTTCAAAGGTATCAGTTGTCTCAAGGATTCTTAGACGGGCACACTCTTTGATGACAGATGAGAAGGAAAATGAAGACAAAATATCAAACATGACTGGAATTCTCTGGAAAAAGAACTACCCAAAGAAATTCGTTATCAAAATCAACTCCAGAATTAAAGATGATCGAAAACGTACTCCAGAAGTCGCCATTCCATATAGATCAGGAACGTTGGATGACATCAGAAGAGTACTCAATAAACGTAACACCAGAGTTTTCTTCAAAGCATGCGAAAGACCAAATTCTAAAGGAATCACAATCTAGCTGATGGCGTGATGGATCAATAAAAAGATCTATTCATAGAAAACCTACCTGAACAGGACTGTATAGTAATTTGTGCCCTGTTCGGCACAAAAGTGCCTTAGTGAGGCGGTCTTCAGTAGAATCCACCTAATGTGCACAGAAGACACACTTGATGAGGAAGAAAGAAAGTTGACACAAACTCTGGTTGACAATAATTATCCAGACATGTTCATAAGGAGATATAAAGTAGTCAGAACATCAAGACCCACTCTCCAACTCGCCACTAAGCATGACGTGTACATCGAGCTACCCTATATGGGTGATCGTAGTAGGTGGCAACTAGACAAAGATTGAACGCTGCGCTGAAAAAGATATTTTGTTCAGCTGAGATCATAATAACTGAGAATGTGAAGCCTATATATCCATCTAAGCACTCAAAAAAATGCGAAAAATAATGTCGCATCCCACTGTCTTTACCAATTTGAATGTGCGTGTGGCCACAGATAGATAGGGATGACTCATCGATATCTGCAAGTAAGGGCTTCAGAGCATTTCTTCAAAAGAAATTCGGGAGGATAATCGAACGATTACTAAAACCACACGTACAGTGACACGTAAAATCCGAAAACACAGGATTCGTCTAAAATACGGTACTCAGTTGTGAGGTGTCTGTGGCTGAATGCCGTCAAAAAGCACAGTCAATGTGCGTCAATAAGTAAAAACATCAGAGCTGTGTCAGAGGCGATCCACTTGTTATTCAAACAGAGCGCGAATGCCAGACACAGAATAAAGGGATACGGATAAACAATGTCCAACAGTAAAGGGTACACGAATAAAGCATATACAGCAAATAATGTTCGATTCTAAAAAAATTATT